ACTGTTTTTTATGTCATTTAAATATACTGATTGCTGATGTTGCCAGCATGATAATGTGGATGGTACAATGTAGGTCCTCTGCAGTTTGTTGTATGCAGTTAGGCTAAGACCTAAAATTCCTGAATGGCTCATAAAGTTAAATGTTTTCACAGGACTGTTCCCACTAAAAAATATCCCACAGGCGATCACCAAATTTCCCCAGGGCAGTGAATTTGAAAATGGCTGGCTCCGCCATTTTCTGATAAATCCACAGACACATCTACTTGTTACACAAACACAAGTACCAACTGTTGTTTTGATGTGTTGCAAGTTTCTCTTGCTGCAGACAGCACATATGTCTAGCAGTTCAAAGAGACATTGTTCAAACACAACATACTTGTGCGCTTTGTCTGGATCTGTGTCCTCACTGTCCAATTCATGTGTTGTTGTGACATTGTCTTCCAAATCTGAATACTCCTCCAGATCTTCTAATGGACTCCATTCTGAATCATTGTCCTGATCTGGTAGAGAAATATCCATGTCACTCTCATCATCAGAATAATTTTCCCTATCTTTCTGGGTGGTGTTGTATCTGTGGCATTGAATGGATGTAGACACAGTCTGGCATGTGGCCTGTACCCCACAAGATGTAACTGAAGTCTTCATTTCTGATATTTTTGTCTGTAGACTAACATGACGACGTTTCTGGAGAAAAAAAGAAATATTAATCAATTGCTGTGAACTCTAAAATAATCTATATTGCCTGAACATTCCAATCTACTGATTCACATCTATTATTTGAATACCCATGTAATTCATATGAAACTAATTTTATATGTTAATGATGTTATTAACACTTCTATTTCAGTAGTCTTTGACGGTCAATACATATTGAACCTACTTACACTATGAGATGGTCATATAATTTGAAAACATATAATGACCAAGAATTATAATATAGATGTACTTTTCTGTATTTTATCATAAATTTTATTGCATCACAATCCATTTTCAAGAGGAGATCTAGAAATACATGTCCGGTATATGTAAGTGCATGGCCTTCATAAATATGCTGGGTGAAATTATATATACCGGATAGGGAGTAGGGGCTGGTATATGTGTACCCAAAAAGCATTCAGAGAATACCATAATAGTATATATTACATGTACATACTGTTAGGTTGTATGACGTCTGACAGCCAACATTGTATGTCTCTAGTGGATCATCCGGTCCTACACATTTATCTACAGTACTTCTGTGATCAGAAGTCTGTGTCTCCATGTGCACCTGATTTGGATGGTACTTGATTTGTTCAGACGTGTAATTTGTACTAATCTGCTGTTCATTTGTTACGTCTGCCAAAATCTACAAACAAAAAAAGAAAAAGGATAAACAACTAAACAAACAAGTGGAATACATTGTATGTGCCAGTAATATCAGAAAGGCGGGAAGGGGGGGGGAGGAGCTTGTACAGTTCACTGTGGTTAGGCGTAAATTAGCTTATATTATAATTACATTGTATGTTGCTTGCAAGTACAGTACCTTATCATTTTAAAATATTACGTAATACTACCATTGTTAATACAACTGATGCATTTATTTACCTCGAGACGTCGTCTTTTCTGGACTGCTGTGCTAGGCCTAGACCGACTTCTGCTCGGAGTTGTGCCGACTGGATAGTGTTGGTCATTCCGGGCATTGGCAGGACTGGTACCGCTGTCTTCGGTCTGGATGGGAGTGGTAGGCCTAGATTTCGGCGAATAATCAAAAATTGTGGGAATTGACCCTGGTTTTAACGATTTTCGACCCGGTGTGAAACCAAGTGATTCCAAAAGACGTCGATCGTGGGTGAAGCAGTCGTCCGCAAAATGGCTCTCACACAATCTGGTGTGGTCGCTTGGAGAAAAATTGTCTCTCTTGAGCTTAATTTTCCACGCATTTTTATCTCGGGGAAAAGCGAATAAACTTACTTTCTGTCCACGATTGCTACTGTTGTTACAATTGAGGGCTGCACATTGTACCATGTTGACATCTGGCGTTTGTTTACAATTTTCCTGCTTGACAGATAGCGCGGATTTTTTTTTGCAACGAGAGCGTTTGTCACATATGACGTCACGGATAAGGGCGATAACTCAGTCAAGGCCTTTGTGTTTCGCAAGATCGACCGAAGAACAGCATTTTTTAAAAACTCAATTTACTTACCAAACTCGCTAAATTTGTTTAAAATAGCACGTTTTGGTTTTTTATGATACTTTTATAACACTGGCAGCATCGGCAGTTATTTGATTGATTTTGGCTTTCTGTCACCTTTAATGATAGATTGTTTACACCGACTTCGACATGGGGAAACTGCGAACGCCATTTGACTACGCCGAGAGACTAGAGTTTCATGCCGCCGGTCGCCACTTCGACATTCCAGAGTGAAATATCAAGGCACGGAAGAAAGAAAAGACCGTCTAAAGTCCCAACCACTGACCAGAAGGGCTGACATAGGTGCGACAGCGAAACACCCAGAGATGGAGAGAGAGAGAGAGCTGTTCAACTTTGTATGCGATCGCCGATATCCCGGCATCGCTGCTAGTACAACAGAACTGCGCGTGCGGGCCATGCAGATCAAGAGAGGTCATGGGGTCACCAACTTTGGGCATCGGTGGGATGGGCTGTCCGATTTATGAACAGAACGTTTACTATCTATAACTTAAATATTAATTTTATCCAAACCTTACTCTCTCTTTTTCCCCAATGTGGTCATAGTTTTCAAAAGTGATATAGATCCAAATAAAATTTTATGTACCTTCTATTTAGCTTCTGATTCATTAATATTGTTACAAATTGCACTTGTACACTGCAAATCATGGTGTGTGTGTGTGTGTTTTTGTTTGTTATGCATGTAGATATGTGTAGGGGTGTGTGTATAGGTGTTTAGATGTGTTTGTGTGTATGTATGTAAGTATGTGTGTATGTATATATGTGTGTAGGTGTGTGTGTGAGAGAGTATGTATGTGTGTGTGTAAGTATGTATGTGTGTATGTTTGTTATGCATGGATATATGTGTAGGGGTGTGTGCATAGGTGTTTAGGTGTGTGTGTGTGTGTTTGTTATGCATGTATATATGTGTAGGCATGTGTGTATAGTGTTTAGGTGTGTGTGTAGGTGTGTGTGTGTGCATGTGTGTGTGTGTATGTTTGTTATGCATGTATATATGTGTAGGGGTGTGTGTACAGGTGTTTAGGTGTGTGTATATGTATGTATGTTTGTTATGCATGTATATATGTGTAGGCATTTGTGTATAGCGTTTAGGTGTGTGTGTAGGTGTGTGTGTGTGTGCATGTGTGTGTGTATGTTTGTTATGCATGTATATATGTGTAGGGGTGTGTGTATAGGTGTTTAGGTGTGTGTGTGTGTGTGTGTATGTATTTTTGTTATGCATGTATATATGTGTAGGCATGTGTGTATAGTGTTTAGGTGTGTGTGTGTGTGTGTGTGCATGTGTGTGTGTGTGTATAGGTGTTCCCTGTCACTATTCCTTTGAATTAAAACATGACATGCAGGTTATGGAAACTTTGGAAGTAAATGCCCACCAGCAGTGTCTGCTACCTGCAATCTGGCAGACTGTGCGAGGACACACAATTCAAGACAATAGAACTTTCTAATAAAAAATTTGGGTTGATACTGTTGGATCTAATTAAGATACCTCGTGATGTTGAAAGTTTAACGAGATTGTGCAGTTGAATAAACTTGGAATCCAACATATCAACATGTTATTGGTGAAATTTTCAGATTTTCTGGTTAATTCAGACTGAGTTGTTATAAATGTTTTCATCCTATTTGACCAAGGTGACATTGAATGCGAGTTGACAAGGTCATACATTTGCACAAGTGATACTGCAAAGACTTTGTAAATTGACACTGTCAGCATAGCATTAAGATGGGACTCTGGGTGGATGGCAAATGAACAATGAACATTGCCTTCACTAGATTGCACAGTATAAAGGTTTCAATTGTAATGTTATGATCCAGGAATTATTTGAAAATTTCAAAGGGAAGACTGCATAGAGTCCTGGACCATCCCTCACTATGAAGAAATGTACACAAAACATCTGTTTATTGCAAGGTGGACAATGGAGTAGATTACAAAAATCGCCCCTATATGATATTGAAACTGAGGTTATTCATTTGAACGATCTTCGTACTCCTTTTTCCCAGTATTCTAAAGGCCAAATATAATTATCCTTGGTCTTTCCATTACTGAGAAGAAGCTGTTTGAACACATTTGACCCCTGTGACACTGTAAGTGGCTCAAGGTTGTCCATTTGAACAAACTTGGTAGTGCTTCATCCTTGCATGCTACAAGTCCAATATCATTACCCTGGGCCTTTCAATGAATGGGAAAAAGTCGTAAGTTTTTCATACATTTGACCCATAAGACCTAGAAAGTATGTCAAAGTCATTCATTTGAACAAACGTGGCAGCCCTTTTTATCCCAGTAAGCATCAAGCCTAATATCAGTACCCTTTGCCCTTTGGTTATTGAGAAGAAGTAGTTAAGACTGTGACCTTAAAAGTTGGTCAAGGTTATTTATTTGAACAAAATTGGTAGCCAACAATCCCAGCACGTTACAGGCCCTATATAATTACCCTTGGCCCTTGATTTTAACATATTTGGCCCCTGTGTCCTTCATTTCAACAAAATTGGTAGCCCTTCATCCTGCCAGACTGCAGGCCTAATATCAATACCCTCAGGATTTCGGTTACTGAGAAGAAGTAAATTGAAGGTTTTCATATATTTGACCCCCTTGACCTTGAAAGTGGTCAAGGCCATGCCTTTAAACAAATTTCTTAGTCCTCATTCCCTGCTTGTAACAGGCCCAATATCAGTACCCTTGGCCTTTTCGTTACTGAGAAGAAGTTGTTTGGAGTGAAAAGTTGACACTGGATCATTGAGCGCCACTACACCACAGCATAAGCTCACTTGGCTATTCAGGCCAGGCGAGCTAAAAAAAATAAATATAATACAAATGTTCAAAGTTACGAAAACATATTTTATTGCACATTATGCATCTTTCAAGATAAAGATGAAATAATTCAGGTCTAATCTGGTGAGATTCCAATCCACACATATTCAAACATGCCAAACATTAGTTATAATTTTGTTAGTCATGTGTGTTATTAAACCCATGTATTAACAAAATGATAACCTGGACATTGGCAAACTTTTCATGTTATTTTCAGACTCTGTTTTCAAACTAAGCTCATTTTTCAGCATGTTCTGGTTCAAAAATATGTCAGCTATCCTATTTATCTGTAAAGTATCATTTCAGTTTTTACAACAAAGCTAGAACTTCTTGTATAAACTTTTGCATGGATCAATTGAAAAACGAATGGCTATAAGGAGGATTACTAAATAGCGGTTATCTCCCATTTAGGGTAAAATTTTGGTTTTGTTTTATCTGTGTAATCATATTTCTGATAATCTGATGTTTTATGAAGTGAAAAAAATCTGGAGGCTTGCATTTTTATCTCTGTACTTGTTAAATAGTATTTTCATTTTTATTTTAGGCTAATTAAACTTAAAGAAATTTAGTGAAACATCAACAAATCCATTCAATGTGAATAGTGTGCATAAATCTTTGATCTTAAACAAATGGGAAATACCTTGGAGTTAGTATTTGTCAGACTTGTCCACCCTAGCTGTGACCTCTACTTTTGTCTTTGTCCCTGTAACAATGAACAGGAGCGTTCATCACAGAACTATAGTACAGAAAAATGTACAGTTTCATGAAAACAAAGGCTGAAACTGTTGAAAAATTATCACTTTCCATACAATCATCAGCAAAAAGAAATACACTTCTTTATAAATAAATCCACAAACACACATCAAAAAGAATTATGTTTCTAATATATAAAACCAGAAACATATGTACATGTAGATAAATAGGAATGACATGGGTGTAGAGAAAAAATTGTGTACCATTACTAGCTATAATGTATTGAACTTCATTAACAAAAATCATGCAATGGAACAAACATTAAAATCTTTATACAATACAGTACAGTCACTGATCATATGTATGTAGTAAGTTGTCTTTTAAATAGCCATATTAACTGTAGGCATTAGGTATAACAATTATGTACTCTACATGTTATTCTCAATATACTGTATGAAAATGATTTCAACTGACATTTTAAATATACTAGTTGGCCTAGATAAAAATCTGATTCAGTATACATAAAATCTACGACAGTAAAACAGATGTTAAATATGTTTGCTGAAGTTAAACATTATTTTTAACCTACTGGAATCATGAAGAGAACACTTACTGATTAGGTAATACAGGAATAAACAAAGATAAAAGACATACATTACTAGAGAATTGTAAGACTAGGTATCAGCTTAATATGTCATTTACAATTATATAAAAACAGTATGATGTTAACTTTATTATTATGAAGTTTCCCTATCTTTTAAAATACTATAAAAGTGATTTAGGAGTATATTATCAGAAATATATTTCAAATGCTTACTTTTATTAACTGTATTTAGGGAGTTGAAATTCCTTAAGAAAATCACTGTGGCAATTGCTTTATAATAATCACAGAAGGATCTCAGGAGGTACTGGTGCCTCATTTCCATAAGGATACATATATCTCAAACACTTGCAATTACTAAATAAATTTGTTTTGAAGTATGACAAGCAAGGTCACATCATGAACCCTCGTTAAGGATTGCTGTCCAGTTGACGTCAACACATTCAGATGGATACATTTAGTCAAGCAGGTGCAGATTTTTCAAAATATCCAGATAATTAAATTTGTAAAGTGATGGACCAAAATCTGTATCAAACTTAGACATTTTGTTTGTTTTGAATTTAACCCTTTTCTCCTTTGGTGTGAGTCCTGTTGAGTGAGTTTTTTACATTCCTACGCACATTCATGTCTTTAAGAATCATCGTTTCCTGCTTTAAAAGCACATTCAGCATCAGTCCACATGACCAGCATCTTTGATTTCAACGCGTCGTGACAAAAATATTGCACCTATAATGCTCACCACTGTTAACAGAAAGAAACAGATGTAGAACATCTCTTCATCAAAAATGTCTGTGAAGGAAGGGATGTAGGCTGACCATCTTTTGACAAGGTGATGGGCTACAGTATCACTCTTCATCTTTAGAATTGAAACCAAAACAACCTGCGATTGGTGGCTGGAGTGAGGAAATGTGTCCACCTGGATCTCTATAAATATAAAAATAAAAACCATAAGACACGGAAAAAGTGTGTACAGATATTACTTGCATTAGTTGTGAAATCAAGCAGGAGGTGGTGTTCTTTTAATCCATCTTAGATAACACTTAATTGAAACCTTGAACTTTGATCTGAAAATTAAGCCCTTCAACAATTTTGCTATTTGAATCTGATTGACCCAAGAGATTCAAACTACTGTTTGGAAACCAATCTGGATGAAAAATCATGCAATTACCAATGTTTGTATATATCATCTTTATATGTTTAATAACAAATTGGAAAATCTACTAGTGCCACAAACTCCTAGCCATCACATATCTGGTAACAGATATTCAAAACCAAGGGTGCTAAAATGTCTCTTTAAGTGTCATTGAGTTTAATACACCTTATAATCAATTCTATTGTATAGTTATCAAATCTGTATCTATATTTCCCTGTGTTATATTTGAAAATTATTTTGACTTTGTTAAGTCCAAAACTTGATTACAAAATTTATAAAATGAGGCAAAGCCACAATTGGCCGGGTTGTGGGATGAGTGCATTGTTATATGGTATTTATAAGACAGTTAAGGGTGTTTCATTTGTTGAGTATGTAGAATATTTATTATAAGAGAGAAAGTTTGGTTGTATTTTACAAATTGGTGCAGTTTGTAGTAGTTTCTGAGAAACTGTGATAACAAGAAAAGTTCCAGAAAATGACTTGGTTCCAAAGCCTGGGAAATCCAGAAAAATGTCCAGAATGAATCCATAATAGGAGGTGCACATCTTCAACATATACATAAACATCCTACAAAGTTTCAAGCTTCTACATCAAAAACTCTAGGAGGAGTTGATTCTACAAAACTGGTATCCCTTTTCCCGCCTGCCCCCTTGATATTTACCATACTATAACCTGGATTTGCACTATGTGCAACCCGGCCAATAAAAATGGAGAAAAAATATCAGGCCATTCATTTGGACAAGGCTAGACATATCACCTATCATTAGATTGGTAATTACTACATGTACTACACATCTGGAGAGGTCAATTTTGGTCATAACACATGACATGGATCATGGATACTTAGACCAGGGAAAAAAGATGTATCTAACATTTATCTTTTGAGTGACATCATATTGCAAACCACCCTGTTTCAATTGAAGGTTTAACGCCTCACATCCCAGTAATGTGTATATGCAATGTGATCTGAAAACTTGTATAAACTCATAAATGTTTGCAATACAAGGAAGTAACATTGCTGATTACCAGTACTTTTCCTCTACTTTTTTAAATTGAAAAGTGAGGGCAAAGAAAGTCTACAATGGAAATTGTACTCTGTAGTATGGTGTAATATTCGAAAGATTTTCAAATTGATATATTAACCTATCAAGAGGTTTTATAATTATTTCACTATACCTTCAAAAATAATTGTTTACATTTTACACTGTTACTTAAAATTTAACCAATGTTTCTGCTTGTAATTAATGTAGGCAATTTTCAATAAAATGTTGGATTTTTGTAAAGATAGATCTAACACGTGATTCTTTAAATTGCATAACTCAATAATACCATGGTAATTAAGAATGATGTGAGATATACCTTAAAAATATTCATTTCATTATGATAATTATTCTTTTATTCTTTTTGACATAGAACATGAGATTATGCTAATCGAATGTATGTAAATGAAGGTAGTGTTGGAATTGGGTGGTCTCCCTTACTTTGTTATACTTTAACTTTGCATATAATTGATTGCCCTTGATTACTTAACATATGGATTTGATCAATGATAGATATTTCTTTCTTTCAATATCTGGATACATTTCTTGATATGAATCAATAGGTTTTATTTGCACAAGTATTTCATCTGATGTGCCTTATATAATAACGATTATCGTCTGACCGGTGTGATGTTTCCGTTCTCTCACTTGTTTAATTGTAACCAAACTCTCTTCTCACTCCTTCATCGATTGCTTGATGAAATAATCACATTAAGTTTATACAAACCTATCAATATTTCGCAGAAAACACCAATATTTCTTCTCTCTGCATGTACGCTAAACAACGATATATATTCACGAACGTCAGCTTTTTTTCAACCGGAATAAGTGTCTACAACAGTAAAATTCGACCCGAAACACAGGTTGCGGACAACATTTCCGGATATGTATATGTGTTCGTTCGACCCCACTTGGAGCATGCCAGCTCAGTGTGGTCACCCTATAAGAAAGACATAAAATCAATTAAAAATGTGCAAAGGCGTGTAACCAGAATGCTACCCAATATGAAAAAACATTGGATATGAAGAAAGACTACAAAGACTGAATATATATCCTCTTTGAAGTTTAGAAGGATCGGGGGGGGGGGGGGTATAATAGAGGTTTTTATAATACTATGATACTACTAAGTGAGAAATACAACAAAAGGGTAACATCTGATCTGTTGCAACTGAACGACAATACGGTAATTAATTGAAATTGCAAGAAAGACTTACGGAAGTACAGTTTCACCTTTAGAGTAGTCAATATATCGGGAACAGTCTGTCAGATCGTCAAATCCACATGAATTTGAAAACAGACTTGACAAACTATGGAAGAGCCATCTAGTGGTCCAGCCTACCATGAAGGCGAATACAAGATCAGTAAACATAAGTAAGTATACTAATGACTATTGACCCTTACTGACAGCTAGTTGATTAATTATGAAATACAGATCTTTTCTTGTATCCGGATTGGGCACAAGTTACATATTGTTAAATCACATGTAAAGGTAATAATTCATAGAAACCCTCTCCACAAATAACATGTACAAGTTTTAATGATAGTGATTGTACATTTATGATTTATCAAGGAAATTGTGATATGTGAATTAAAGAAAATAAAGCAGCAAGGAGGAGAAAAAAGACCAAAGCAAATGAAAGATGAAAGAAGTGACAACAGGGTGGATAGAGTGTAATTCGGTTGATACGCTGATTGATTCAAGATACGTATGATTCTGAAATAAAAATGACATTTACATAGGAACACGGTACTCACTAGTTACTAATTCTACTGACATCGTCTATTTGTTGGTCAATATAATATGACATTCCGTGTGGTCCTTTCTCTGGTTCTCGTCCTTTTTAGGTACACGTGTACTTATCTATATGCCATACAGAGGAATTTACATATATTTTAATTCTAAACATTACGTTAACGAACAGGTGACCCTTATACATATATGTACATTGATTGTATGTGTGATGAACATTGATTGTATGTATGATGAACATTGATTGTTTGTTTGATGAACATTGAATACAAGTTGAACAAAGCAAGTCTATTGGGCGCCTGGCATCGTAAGTTTAATAATGTTAAAATATTGAATAGAATAAATGATGCTTAAACTACAATTGACAAAGTTTGAGAATAATATCCTAATTCAAGGTCACAAGGTCAAAATGTCACGTAACTTCTTCTGGTTAACATTGATTTACAAAAACGCCAATAAACTATTTGACATTTAAGCTGATGGGATGAAACTTGGCAAAATTTGTGAAAATAAACGAACTTGATCTACATCAAGTCTGTTAACAATTTTTGTACTATTTTTCTCATTACTGAAAATACCATATAACTTCTTATCATGTATATTTGATACAAAACAAATACAAATAACAAAGGGAAAAGCAATTTCGCTTTTTTAATACTAGGGCATATAGTCAATACTGTTGTCGTTGATGTCGTGTCTTCTTAACGATAGAAGATGAAAAACAATAAATACTATAAATAGAATATTTTGAAAATATTTTTCTAATGTCGCGCTGCTAAATAGCTGGCTGAAATCGAATGGGAGGTTAACACAAACTACAAACTAAAATCAAATGAGAAGCTGAATGAGTATAGTCGAGTCAGCGGGTCAAATGTCAAGGTATCATTGTTGAACCGTTTTAGCTATACTATTAGCAAATATTTTGTTATGTCATCAAGAAAATCTCACCAGAATCAGATTATCTTGAAAAAGTCTCATGACTGTAGGTCAAAGCCGTCAGGTCAAAAATCAGGGTCAAATTTTGAATGTTTTACTGGTAGATATTTTGCTTAGATCAGCTGTACCTCCAATTGTGCGACGAGGCGCATTTAAAACACACACGTTCTGTTATTTTTTTTCAGCTCAAATGCTAATCATCTCCCAATAGTACAAACTGATAATAGTAAACAAAGTAAAAAATTGTCGTTCCGGTGTGCCTTATAACACCACGTGTTCTCGTGCACAAGTCCCGCTCACAATTTCTGGGGATCCAAATCGTGTTATAGGTATACTAGATGCTATCTTTGTAAATCTTTTTCTTACCAGTAAGCAGTGATTGGTCAATTCACCCCTATGACAGTTATACTGCCAGACAAAACTCATTAAATACCCACGGTTGGTTGACGGGGTATCATAATAATCGCGGTTCACCCGGTACTGTCTGACTATGTAGAGATTGAAATATCAATATGCACAACACCGCCTCGACTGACGATGTCGGAGCATTAATCATTGTGAAGAACGGTCTTCCTCTGGCCCACCAGACAGATATATATTGGATATTGGGTAGTGCAGACACCTGTACACTTTGAAAACCACGAACAATGTTTAGTGTCGTTAATTTTTTTAATATTAGGAATTTTTTTTATAAATGATAGCGAACAGTAACAGCTATAAATGTTTGTTTATGAAGATACACACACACATATATATATTTAACATTCCACTTAATCTCTTGCCCATTTCGTCATCGATGTTGAATGGATAGAAAACGGAGACAATGCGACACTCAAAATGGAACGGTGATTTGTTTGTGAAATTCTATGCCCGCATGCATCAAACGAGTGTTTGTAGGTGACTGTTAGCTAAAATAATGTCCATGCATGGGTAGTCTATGTGTTTAGTAGAAGTAGTGTGTTAATTCTAAGTAGTTACATTTGTACATAGATAGAGAGGGACGAAGTTGTCTATTCTAAACTATATACTGTTATATACAACCCGCAGTTTGTACAGAAATACTATTTATATAGGGTATGAGATGGGATCAAAGGAGGGGTAGCGATTGGACGGGGAGGAGGAGGGGGATGAAGGAAGGAAGGTATTGTATATTGTTTATTTGGTTTGTATATGTTGTGCGTTGTCTCGTATTGTATGTATGGTTGTGTGTTGAGCTTAATTGTGTGAATTTTTACATTTCGAGTTTTAGACCTTATAGCCAGTGTTAAATAAACAGTTCTGTATGTTAGTTATCGAGAACTGTTCATCCCTATTGTTCTACCTAGCAGAGTTCAATATGCTACAAGCCAGGGTACAAGACCCGAATCCGACTGTAAACCAGACATGGCCGTTGTACCCGGAGGTTCCTGTTATGTTTGATCTTTACTCAGCGTAGGCTCTTAAATGTGGGCTTTGTTTGTGTATTTTCTTCCTATCTAGTCGTTTGTTTTAACAAATGCTTGAAGGAGCGTGTTTACTCGTGTGTGTTGTTTGATCTATTTGTACTGTTTCAGATTATTTCACAAATTCGAAAGCTGTTGGGAGGACACCACATACCTCATGATGAGAGAGTCAGTAGCAACCCTCTCTGGTACAGTCTCCCTAGGTATCCTGGAGATCTTATCTGTGCATAATGTTGTGTAGGTTTCTGATGTTTGAGAGTAGTCTCCCTTCGACCTCTCTGTTTACCTTTTATATTTTGTCCAAGTAGTTAATTTTTCTTATTTCTTCTCATGATCATTTGTATGAATTTTTTAACCATGTATTTGATCCCTTTCTTTCTGCTTTCAGGAGGGGATACGGATGTCAGTCTACCCTGCTGCGACTCCTTGAGGATTGGCGGAGGGCCCTGGATGAGAACAAGTTTGTTGGTGCTATACTCATGGATCTCTCCAAGGCCTTTGACTGCATCCCTCATGGACTGCTTCTCGAGAAGCTGACTGCCTATGGGTTGGATGAGACTGCTGTCAGTCTCATTAGCAGCTATCTCAGGGGCAGATTCCAGCAGACTAGACTGGGGTCCAGTGTCTCTGACTGGGAGCAGTTGGAGAGGGGAGTACCCCAGGGCTCTATTCTTGGGCCTCTAATTTTGGATATTTTTATAAATGATATATTTTACCATGTAAAGGAGGGTACTCTGTACAACTATGTGGACGATAATACTCTTTCCCATATTGACTCTGACCCTGTCCGCATAAGGAATGTACTAGAACAAGAGAGCAATATTTTAATAAACTGGTTTAATGAGAATGGTATGAAGACCAATCCTGACAAATTTCAGGCTATATCCATTGGTAAAAAGGCACACAACATTATTGACTCCTTTACTTTTATGGACCATGTTATTAAGTGTGAGGATTTTGTGAAGCTTTTAGGTGTAGACATTGATTTTAATTTGAAATTTGATTTACATGTGTCCAATATCTGTGAAAAAGCCTCGAAGCAGTTATGTGCATTGAAAAGGATTGGCCGTGATTTTAGCAAGCAGGGGAAAATTTTAATTTTCAAATCTTTTATTCTCTCAAATTTTAATTATTGTCCCCTAGCCTGGCATTTTTGTAGTTTTAACTCCACCAGGAAGATGGAGAAGATTCAATAAAGGGCAGTTCGTTTTATAGAGGATGATTTTACTACTCCTATTTCAGAACTTAAGAGAAACTAAATTTGTCTTATTTACATACTAGTAGAAAGAAAGCAATGGCTTGTGAAGTTTTTAAGATTGTTACAAATTTAGCTCCTGATTACCTGTGCAACCTTTTACATTGAAATCTTTTTATAACCTCAGGAGCGAAAGACAGCTGGAGATACCGAGGGTCAGGACAACCAGGTATGAGTTCATTTCGCTACGAGGCAGTCCGGGTATGGAACAGCCTGCCAAACCATTTCAGGAAGGTGGATAACTATCCAGAGTTTACCAGGCTGCTGCGTACCTGGGATGGCCCCGTGTGTTATTGTAGTATTTGTTCCTGTGCTTAGGTATGCTTTATGTGTCATTTAGTTTTGTAGTTTTGCTACATTATCCTGCCTGGCTTTTTATATATGTGTGTGTATCTTATTATTTGACTTTTATTTATTATTTGCTACCCATCTGTATTTTCATTTAATCTGTTGCATGGGAATTTTTACTTTGTATAACCAGCAGTACTAGTTCTGACGTTAATTTCCTAGTCATAATTTTATTTTCATCGTTTCTCAGTAGTTTTAGCTTACACTATATTAGTGTATATTATGTCAATTTTTACACTTTGCTATATTAGCATGTATGTATGCTACACCTCCTTTGGTGTTTTACTAGTATATATATATGTAGAAATACTTGAGTGATATTCTAGTTTTCTATATTATGTTACGTAAATCTCACTTTTATTGTTCTCCTCTCTGTGATAACTATTATATACTACTGAGTTATCATGTCAGTCTTATGTTTTGCTAATTTTGCATGCTAGTCTGCTGTGATATATGTCTCTAATTCTTATGTCCCATTTGTTTACTTGTCATGTTCTGTTTTTTATATTGTTTGTCGCAGAAATAGTGCTACAGCGCTAATGTTGTCTCTGTTATATATATGCGACACTAAATAAAGTTTTTTGAATCTTGAATCTTAGGAATTCGAAGAGCAGTCTATGCATTAATCTTTCATTTTCACGTGATTTTTAAACCTGGTTGATGGATGTATATTGGATTTTTATTCTTTTAAATTCGGCAACGAGATATTTTCTTTCCTGATATATATATTTTTCTTCAAATTGGTTTTTATACATTCCTTCTTTATCATGACAGAGAACATTGTTGTAAAATGGAAAATCAAAAGAAACATAATCTACACTAATCCACTAACTAACTCTAAGTTCAGGTTACCCCTTACCCACCTGCTGACTTCCTTTTATCTCATAGGTTGACACAGGTATAAAGGTGGGCTCATTTCCCGAACACCAACTCTATATTTATATTATATTATATTATATTATTATAATATAGCTAGTGACACAGTATTAAAACATCTAGATGTAATACAACACACAGCCTTAAGGGTAGCGCTAAGGGCCATCAAAAACACCAACAGCAATAGTTTACTAGCAGAGGCCGGCGAAACAACATTAACACTTAGGCGAGAAAACCTTACTCTAAAATACTGGGCTAAAACCCAAAATCATGGGGATAGGTTCTTACTAAACAAAGCAATACAAAATAGTGAAATACCTGTTACCAACATCAGGGCTCCCTATCCTTCAGAAATACTTAGATTAAAACAGAAATATGGTTTAGAAGGTGTCAAGATCTCCCGCAAACAAGATTTCCAAGTCCCGTGGTTAAAAACATCACCAAACGTATCGCTATTACTGCATAAGACGTTAGATAAACACCACGACCCGATAGGCGCAAAACACCTAGCATTAGAGTTGATAGATAAGAAATATTACAACTTCGTTAAATTTTATACCGATGGCTCTAAAAATCCAACCAATGATAGAGTAGGGATAGGTATATATAACGATACATATAACATCAGAAAATCTCTCCGACTAAGTGACAGAGCCTCGGTCTACACAGCTGAACTCATGGCTATTCAAATAGCATTACTAGGTATTAAGAAAAACCACACCAAATTTGAACGAGTAGTCATTCTTTCGGACTCCCTCAGCTCCTTACAATCCTTGACAACTGGAAATAGCAGTAGACCTAAACTGCTTAATGCAATTCATTATATGATCACCGAGATCGATCAATTAGGAATAGATCTAAAATTCGAATGGATTCCATCTCATGTCGACATTTTAGGTAACGAGATAGCAGATCAACTCGCTAGAGCAGCCTTAGGGTCACGTGATGTTCATCTAAATATAGACTTGAGTGTATCAGAGGTCGTCAGTATAATCAATGACAAAACTCAATTGATAAGGCAGGAAAATTGGTCGAAATTAACTAATAACTGGCTCTATTCCATCGAGAGCAATGTTAAGATCCAACCTCAGTTATATAGTTATAATAAAGTAGAGGATACTGTTATCACTAGACTTCGATTAGGCTACACCAAACTCGGTCATAACATCAACCGTATTAAAAAGGAAGTCAGTCCATATTGTCCAAACTGTGGTGAACCGGAAACCATAGAACACATTCTGTTCGAATGCACCACCCATGACAACTTTAGATCAGTTTTCCAAAACCAAATTGAGCATATAGACAATATGAAATTCGATTCCAAAACGGTACTCAACCCTCCAAAACAACATAGAAAATATGTATTCGACCAATTAACCTCCTATCTAACGGATATTGATTATATTGATAAAATCTAGGAAAGCGATATAATTATATATATATATATATATAAAAAAAAAAAAAAAAAAATCAAAAAACACACACACACACACGCAATATACGCAATTATGAGTCCACGTCCAGTATAGAATAAAAACACAAATAGGTACTACTTGTAGATCGTACAACCACTGCTTACTATAACTGGATAAACAGTGGACGTATTCGAATCTACATGTCCCCAATGGGTGGTCAGTAACCTATGGTAGGTAGGGAAACCAGGATACACAGCCCTCTGTAATTGACTTTACAGGGAGGTGTATTCAACACTGGACACAGGACTATAATTTCACCACCTCACACATACCAACAATACCCTTTAATACATGCCAATAACACACACCACATCCCTTAGCAGGGGACATTGTAAAAAAAAAAAAAAAAAAACATTAAGATTCCCCCCCCCCCCCCCCCCCCCCCATTTTTTTTTTTTTTTTTTTTTTTTTTAAACCATACCCACAACACCACATACATACACAAAAACATCTCCTACATAAATATAACATACACTGGGCCGAAACCCAAAGCCAACAACCATTACAAAATCTCTTCCACCCTACCTTCCACCTTCTAATATACAAATCCCTGCTCTAGTAGGGTAGACATGTAGACGATTATACACAGTAATCTACAGTCTCCCGAACGACATCGATTGTATAATAATTCACATTTATTCTCACTAATCCCAAAAATCTACGCTAACCCAATTCCAGCACATTCTTTACATCACCCCATCACATCCACTCTCATAACTGAACTTAATAACACAGTTCCCCACTTTTAAAAATCCACTCTAGACCAGCATGACTAACCTTGTCAAATGGTGGCTAGTAATCCCATCTACAAATAACAAACCTACACCAGCTAACAAGCTAAACCTATTTTCCAATTTCCGACTTTCCCATACACTCTCTCCCGCTATCTTCTAAAACTTCTTGTCCTTCGGAAGGGACGTTAAACGGGGGTCCGGTGTACAGTGAGTCACGCCGTGCACGTTAAAGAACCTCTGCTGGTTTTCGAAAAAGAGAAGGCTAACTGCTAGCCGCCACAGAGCATAGGTTTATATTAGGGAAATATAAAGTGAGACTAGAGTAGGACTAGGCGTTTCTGTGACAGTCCAAAATTTCCCCAGTTTTTTTTTTTTTTTTTTAAGGTATAGATATAGTCAGATCTGTCCTCCCCATATTAGACCTGTTTGGTGATTACTAAAAAGCGAAATTGCACACCCTAAAGCCTCGGCCCTACCAGCCCCCTCCCCCTTAGTGTCCTAGGCTCGGTTATAACCGGAACAAGGACGTTAAGCTAAAAAAAAAAAAAAAAAAAAAATCTCTCATTCTATCGTTGAACTCCGACAGGAACACAACAACCGAAATGGCTCGTACAAAGCAGACCGCTCGTAAATCCACCGGAGGAAAGGCTCCACGAAAACAGCTGGCCACAAAGGCTGCTCGTAAGAGTGCACCAGCCACCGGAGGAGTGAAGAAACCTCACAGGTACAGGCCTGGAACAGTCGCTCTCCGAGAAATCCGTAGGTACCAGAAGAGCACCGAGCTCCTCATCAGGAAACTGCCATTCCAGCGTCTTGTCCGTGAAATCGCCCAAGATTTCAAGACCGACTTGAGGTTCCAGAGCTCTGCTGTTATGGCTCTGCAGGAAGCCAGCGAAGCTTACTTGGTTGGACTTTTCGAGGACACCAACTTGTGCGCCATCCACGCCAAACGTGTCACCATTATGCCCAAGGATATCCAGCTTGCCCGCCGTATCCGAGGAGAACGTGCTTAAGCTGTACACTTTGTAGCCCACATACCAAAACGGCCCTTTTCAGGGCCACCACATCTCACAAAAAGTCCCATTAATTGCTCGATAATACGCAATTTGAATTGTTAATAGACATGATTATGAAATGATTATTACGGTGGTGTTTTTAGCAAGCATGAAATAAATGCTTGAATAGATAGGATTGTGGTAATAAAATGAGATGATTATTTGAAATGGTAGGGTATGTTTTTCAAGGTTTGGCTATTGAGTGTTAATTTGGTGTTGTTTGTTGGTTTTTGTAATTGGTGTTGTTTGTTTTAGAATGTATTTAATGTTTGTAATTGTGTGTTTTGTTGTTTTTGTTTGTTTTGGTTATTTTGAGTTTTTTGTTTTGTTTTTTTTGTGGTTGTGTTTAATGTTTAAAAAAAAAAGGGTTAGGTTTAAAAAAAAAAAAACAAAGAAACAAAAAAAAAAAAGTAATAAAAAAAAAAGGGGATATAATATATATTAAATTGGGTGGGTCGCGTGCTTTGGGTACTGGAGATCGTAATGAATTTTGGATGTATTCATGTTATGCATGATATTATACACAATTATTTACTTGGCTAATTCAATATAATAATGATAACAACAATAACAATAATAATAAGAAGAATAAGAATAAGAAACATAACAAAAAAAATAGGTCTTTTCACCATGTGGTGAAAAGACCTAATAATATACACTATGATGCTTTATTTGTTGACGGTAAGTATCGGTTTACAGCGTTAAATTCATCCTCATTTGATTATTGATTAACAATGTTTTGGGACATGATATATGTATGCACTTTATTCACAAATACTGTTAAGTACACACTGCTTTATCCCGTACAACACGGCTAAGGAGAGTGTAGTTATTTTCGACCAATGAAAACCGCGCTTATAAAAGCGGAGAGGTCTTCTCACACGGCCTCCAGATTTGTATATAGCATGGGTGATCTGCGCTACCGGTTCATTTTCAGTCACTGCTAGCAGTCTGTAAACATGTCTGGAAGAGGTAAAGGAGGAAAGGGACTCGGAAAGGGAGGTGCCAAGAGGCACAGGAAGGTGTTGCGTGATAACATCCAGGGTATCACCAAGCCTGCAATCCGTCGTCTGGCTCGCCGAGGTGGTGTCAAACGTATCTCTGGTCTGATCTACGAAGAGACACGTGGTGTCCTCAAAGTTTTCCTTGAGAATGTTATCAGGGATGCCGTCACATACACCGAGCATGCCAAGAGGAAGACTGTCACAGCCATGGATGTCGTCTACGCTCTCAAGAGACAAGGACGTACCCTGTACGGATTCGGCGGTTAAACACTGACTACCTAGAACAGCCAACCAACTCAAACGGCCCTTTTTAGGGCCACCAAAATACCCAAAAAGTATTTGTATAACGCCTCGAATACATACGCCACTCATTTCTATTTGCAGAACAAGTAAGACTTACCTAGGTTTCATTTGCATGCAAACCCGCTGATTCCTGTTGTTCATTATCATTCATAAAGGAACAATAGTATACTGAGAAACGTTCAACGAAACAGAATGTCAATAATACAATACCTCACGTACTTTCCTTCTCTTCACTGTAGTACGTTTGCATTGTTATGAAATGACACTTACAAGCAAATAAATACAACAGAAAACAAATACTTACCAAACTATCAATTTCATTTTATTTTCTTTCCTTTCCATTCCATTCCATTCCATTCCATTCCATAATCATATCTATTCAGATTCAATTCGATTCAGTTGATATGTAAATATTTTGGCTGTGTTTTATCATTGAAATAAAACACGGCCTAATTCTTATAAACTTATGCACACTTCTCCATAAATACACAGAACATGGGTTGATCTTAGATCGTTTGCAATTAATACATGAAAATAAAGATAATCAATCCATACACTATTTCGTTATTGAGCTATAGTACATGCATTCGTAGTTTTGAAATAAGGTTTTACCAAATTATATCATATCAAACACACATGCACATGGAACCATGTTACAAGGTGGTATTATTTCGTCTTTACTTTAATCTAAATGTAAATCAATCAACACTAACTTACCAACAACTCCACATGATATTTGGACGGATATGTTTTCATATATTTCATTGCTATATGATGATTATATTTCTCATTCGTTTCCTTACTATAGCAGTTCTCTTTTACATATTACAAACAAATCACACGACGACACACACTGAAGCAAGTCAAGTCTTACGCAGACAAAGCGTATAATTTTCGAGAGATCACAGGGCTTTTTGAGGAATGTGGGTGGCCCTGAAAAGGGCCGTTTGGTTGGTTTGTTGTAGTAAACTTTGCTACAAGTTTACTTGGAACTGGTGTACTTGGTGACAGCCTTGGTGCCTTCGCTGACGGCGTGCTTAGCCAATTCACCGGGGAGAAGGAGACGGACAGCAGTCTGGATTTCCCGACTAGTGATGGTGGACCTCTTGTTGTAGTGGGCCAGACGGGAAGCCTCAGCGGCGATTCTCTCGAAGATGTCGTTGACAAAGCTGTTCATGATGGACATGGCTTTGCTGGACACTCCGGTGTCGGGGTGCACCTGTTTCAACACCTTGTAGATGTAGATGCTGTAGGATTCCCTCCTCTTCCTCCTCCTTTTCTTGTCAGTTCCACGACTGGCCTTTGCCTTAGTGGCGGCCTTCTTTGCTCCTTTCGAACCTACTTGTTTAGGGCCCATGTTGCTAGTACGACGAGTGCCGATACGAATAACACACAGCCCACCACAAACCCCTCTTATATACCATCGCCCTCTCAGGTAGGATCGAGTCTTGTAATGCCCAAATCACTCGAACCTTACACGTTCACTGAAAACACCCCCTACTTTACGCTCGTTGCAATTTCGATCCTACCTTGGGGTATATAACGCTTCATGATGTGGCCGACCTCTCATTCTGCTTAACACTGTTGACAGTAACTAGCCGATCGTATCAAGATGTCTGGACGTGGAAAGGGAGGAAAAGTAAAGGGAAAGGCAAAGAGCCGATCATCCCGTGCAGGGCTTCAGTTCCCTGTCGGACGTATCCACCGTCTGCTCCGTAAAGGAAACTATGCCGAGAGAGTTGGTGCCGGTGCCCCAGTCTACCTGGCCGCTGTCCTCGAATACTTGGCAGCTGAGGTGTTGGAATTGGCAGGAAACGCTGCCAGAGATAACAAGAAGACCAGGATCATCCCACGTCATCTTCAGTTGGCCATCAGAAACGACGAGGAGTTGAACAAACTTCTGTCTGGTGTTACCATTGCACAGGGAGGTGTCCTCCCCAACATCCAGGCCGTCCTTCTCCCCAAGAAGACCCAGAAGCCAGCCAAGTAAACGGCCTTTCTGGAGCTTCACACCAAAAACAAACGGCCCTTTTCAGGGCCACCCACTTTTCTCGAGAAGTGCCTGTTTGATAGCACTCGAAAACTTACGCATGCTTTATAATCTAATCACATATCAAATCAAATCAAAAAAAAGAAATCAGACACGCCTTACACTTCGAGGTGCACTATAACACTGTTGATAACAAAAATTAATAATTGTACATGTCTAAATCATTCCACACTGCACCGTATGAAATATACACTGTCCTAATCACAGCTTTGTTGTTGTTAATATTATTATTAATAATATTATAATTATCACCATCATCATAAGTGCTAGTAGTTGTTGTTGTAGTAGTAGCAGCAGAAGTACACTTATTGTTATTAGTATTATTATTGTTATTATTTTTACCACACATATATAGATGTATACACAGTGGGTTGGAAGAATGAGAGATAACAAACACAGCGGAGAGGTCACTTATCGTGTTTATGTAAGACGTTACACAAAAACAACTAAACAAAAACAAAAGAAACAAAGCACAGTAATTGGAAGTATTTAAGATTTTGAGCCATGTCAATGCAATGTGGAGAGAGAGAGTACATATGTAAATAACCGTTGCACACGTTTAACTTCATATCTTGTTGTACACGTGTGTGTTTACCGTTATATTTGTTGTGTTTGTTTGCTGAAATGAAATGTCGAACTGTAATGTTAATTACTACACTAAATGCGTAATTATGTACAGACTGTCATCCTATGCATGTTATAGATATTGTCAATGATGAGTTGTAATCAAGTTCTTTACAATTGATCGAGGAAATGACATGTTTTCTTGACACGGTTTCAAGACAACCTAGGTAGGATTGAAACTTGGCGGAATGTACATGCCTGACGGCCAGTCGACGACCGTCTGAACGAACCAATCAAAATTGACTTGACACATTACACTACCCAATCGCGACCATCGTCTGTAGCGTAGCGGGGAGGACAAAAATAGGTGACTGGAGATTTCTCTCATTCTATCGTTGAACTCCGACAGGAACACAACAACCGAAATGGCTCGTACAAAGCAGACCGCTCGTAAATCCACCGGAGGAAAGGCTCCACGAAAACAGCTGGCCACAAAGGCTGCTCGTAAGAGTGCACCAGCCACCGGAGGAGTGAAGAAACCTCACAGGTACAGGCCTGGAACAGTCGCTCTCCGAGAAATCCGTAGGTACCAGAAGAGCACCGAGCTCCTCATCAGGAAACTGCCATTCCAGCGTCTTGTCCGTGAAATCGCCCAAGATTTCAAGACCGACTTGAGGTTCCAGAGCTCTGCTGTTATGGCTCTGCAGGAAGCCAGCGAAGCTTACTTGGTTGGACTTTTCGAGGACACCAACTTGTGCGCCATCCACGCCAAACGTGTCACCATTATGCCCAAGGATATCCAGCTTGCCCGCCGTATCCGAGGAGAACGTGCTTAAGCTGTACACTTTGTAGCCCACATACCAAAACGGCCCTTTTCAGGGCCACCACATCTCACAAAAAGTCCCATTAATTGCTCGATAATACGCAATTTGAATTGTTAATAGACATGATTATGAAATGATTATGAAATGATTATTACGGTGGTGTTTTTAGCAAGCATGAAATAAATGCTTGAATAGATAGGATTGTGGTAATAAAATGAGATGATTATTTGAAATGGTAGGGTATGTTTTTCAAGGTTTGGCTATTGAGTGTTAATTTGGTGTTGTTTGTTGGTTTTTGTAATTGGTGTTGTTTGTTTTAGAATGTATTTAATGTTTGTAATTGTGTGTTTTGTTGTTTTTGTTTGTTTTGGTTATTTTGAGTTTTTTGTTTTGTTTTTTTTGTGGTTGTGTTTAATGTTTAAAAAAAAAAGGGTTAGGTTTAAAAAAAAAAAAACAAAGAAACAAAAAAAAAAAAGTAATAAAAAAAAAAGGGGGTGGGTAGGTGTTGTGGTTTTGGTTTGTTTTGTTGTTGTTTTGATTTGATTTGCATATCCCGCCGAGCGGAGCGAGGCGAAAATTTTTTGGGGGTGATTTTTTTTTTCTCGGAGTGTTAGTTTTTTGGGGATGTGTATATATAATATATATTAAATTGGGTGGGTCGCGTGCTTTGGGTACTGGAGATCGTAATGAATTTTGGATGTATTCATGTTATGCATGATATTATACACAATTATTTACTTGGCTAATTCAATATAATAATGATAACAACAATAACAATAATAATAAGAAGAATAAGAATAAGAAACATAACAAAAAAAATAGGTCTTTTCACCATGTGGTGAAAAGACCTAATAATATACACTATGATGCTTTATTTGTTGACGGTAAGTATCGGTTTACAGCGTTAAATTCATCCTCATTTGATTATTGATTAACAATGTTTTGGGACATGATATATGTATGCACTTTATTCACAAATACTGTTAAGTACACACTGCTTTATCCCGTACAACACGGCTAAGGAGAGTGTAGTTATTTTCGACCAATGAAAACCGCGCTTATAAAAGCGGAGAGGTCTTCTCACACGGCCTCCAGATTTGTATATAGCATGGGTGATCTGCGCTACCGGTTCATTTTCAGTCACTGCTAGCAGTCTGTAAACATGTCTGGAAGAGGTAAAGGAGGAAAGGGACTCGGAAAGGGAGGTGCCAAGAGGCACAGGAAGGTGTTGCGTGATAACATCCAGGGTATCACCAAGCCTGCAATCCGTCGTCTGGCTCGCCGAGGTGGTGTCAAACGTATCTCTGGTCTGATCTACGAAGAGACACGTGGTGTCCTCAAAGTTTTCCTTGAGAATGTTATCAGGGATGCCGTCACATACACCGAGCATGCCAAGAGGAAGACTGTCACAGCCATGGATGTCGTCTACGCTCTCAAGAGACAAGGACGTACCCTGTACGGATTCGGCGGTTAAACACTGACTACCTAGAACAGCCAACCAACTCAAACGGCCCTTTTTAGGGCCACCAAAATACCCAAAAAGTATTTGTATAACGCCTCGAATACATACGCCACTCATTTCTATTTGCAGAACAAGTAAGACTTACCTAGGTTTCATTTGCATGCAAACCCGCTGATTCCTGTTGTTCATTATCATTCATAAAGGAACAATAGTATACTGAGAAACGTTCAACGAAACAGAATGTCAATAATACAATACCTCACGTACTTTCCTTCTCTTCACTGTAGTACGTTTGCATTGTTATGAAATGACACTTACAAGCAAATAAATACAACAGAAAACAAATACTTACCAAACTATCAATTTCATTTTATTTTCTTTCCTTTCCATTCCATTCCATTCCATTCCATTCCATAATCATATCTATTCAGATTCAATTCGATTCAGTTGATATGTAAATATTTTGGCTGTGTTTTATCATTGAAATAAAACACGGCCTAATTCTTATAAACTTATGCACACTTCTCCATAAATACACAGAACATGGGTTGATCTTAGATCGTTTGCAATTAATACATGAAAATAAAGATAATCAATCCATACACTATTTCGTTATTGAGCTATAGTACATGCATTCGTAGTTTTGAAATAAGGTTTTACCAAATTATATCATATCAAACACACATGCACATGGAACCATGTTACAAGGTGGTATTATTTCGTCTTTACTTTAATCTAAATGTAAATCAATCAACACTAACTTACCAACAACTCCACATGATATTTGGACGGATATGTTTTCATATATTTCATTGCTATATGATGATTATATTTCTCATTCGTTTCCTTACTATAGCAGTTCTCTTTTACATATTACAAACAAATCACACGACGACACACACTGAAGCAAGTCAAGTCTTACGCAGACAAAGCGTATAATTTTCGAGAGATCACAGGGCTTTTTGAGGAATGTGGGTGGCCCTGAAAAGGGCCGTTTGGTTGGTTTGTTGTAGTAAACTTTGCTACAAGTTTACTTGGAACTGGTGTACTTGGTGACAGCCTTGGTGCCTTCGCTGACGGCGTGCTTAGCCAATTCACCGGGGAGAAGGAGACGGACAGCAGTCTGGATTTCCCGACTAGTGATGGTGGACCTCTTGTTGTAGTGGGCCAGACGGGAAGCCTCAGCGGCGATTCTCTCGAAGATGTCGTTGACAAAGCTGTTCATGATGGACATGGCTTTGCTGGACACTCCGGTGTCGGGGTGCACCTGTTTCAACACCTTGTAGATGTAGATGCTGTAGGATTCCCTCCTCTTCCTCCTCCTTTTCTTGTCAGTTCCACGACTGGCCTTTGCCTTAGTGGCGGCCTTCTTTGCTCCTTTCGAACCTACTTGTTTAGGGCCCATGTTGCTAGTACGACGAGTGCCGATACGAATAACACACAGCCCACCACAAACCCCTCTTATATACCATCGCCCTCTCAGGTAGGATCGAGTCTTGTAATGCCCAAATCACTCGAACCTTACACGTTCACTGAAAACACCCCCTACTTTACGCTCGTTGCAATTTCGATCCTACCTTGGGGTATATAACGCTTCATGATGTGGCCGACCTCTCATTCTGCTTAACACTGTTGACAGTAACTAGCCGATCGTATCAAGATGTCTGGACGTGGAAAGGGAGGAAAAGTAAAGGGAAAGGCAAAGAGCCGATCATCCCGTGCAGGGCTTCAGTTCCCTGTCGGACGTATCCACCGTCTGCTCCGTAAAGGAAACTATGCCGAGAGAGTTGGTGCCGGTGCCCCAGTCTACCTGGCCGCTGTCCTCGAATACTTGGCAGCTGAGGTGTTGGAATTGGCAGGAAACGCTGCCAGAGATAACAAGAAGACCAGGATCATCCCACGTCATCTTCAGTTGGCCATCAGAAACGACGAGGAGTTGAACAAACTTCTGTCTGGTGTTACCATTGCACAGGGAGGTGTCCTCCCCAACATCCAGGCCGTCCTTCTCCCCAAGAAGACCCAGAAGCCAGCCAAGTAAACGGCCTTTCTGGAGCTTCACACCAAAAACAAACGGCCCTTTTCAGGGCCACCCACTTTTCTCGAGAAGTGCCTGTTTGATAGCACTCGAAAACTTACGCATGCTTTATAATCTAATCACATATCAAATCAAATCAAAAAAAAGAAATCAGACACGCCTTACACTTCGAGGTGCACTATAACACTGTTGATAACAAAAAATTAATAATTGTACATGTCTAAATCATTCCACACTGCACCGTATGAAATATACACTGTCCTAATCACAGCTTTGTTGTTGTTAATATTATTATTAATAATATTATAATTATCACCATCATCATAAGTGCTAGTAGTTGTTGTTGTAGTAGTAGCAGAAGTACACTTATTGTTATTAGTATTATTATTGTTATTATTTTTACCACACATATATAGATGTATACACAGTGGGTTGGAAGAATGAGAGATAACAAACACATGTCAATGCAATGTGGAGAGAGAGAGTACATATGTAAATAACCGTTGCACACGTTTAACTTCATATCTTGTTGTACACGTGTGTGTTTACCGTTATATTTGTTGTGTTTGTTTGCTGAAATGAAATGTCGAACTGTAATGTTAATTACTACACTAAATGCGTAATTATGTACAGACTGTCATCCTATACATTTTATAGATATTGTCAATGATGAGTTGTAATCAAGTTCTTTACAATTGACCAAGGAAATGACATGTTTTCTT